ACATTTAGCTCAATAGTAAAATTTACTTATAAAAATTTGCAGATCTTCTCTGGTTGACTGGCAAATTACCAATTAAAATTTAAAAAAAGTAAATTATAACAATATTTATAATAATTTTCCAGGCAAATTTGCCTGGAAGAGCCTACAGTTTAAGAGATAAATTATATATTTAACTACCCAATAGTAATATTGAATAAATATTAACAAAAATTTGAAATAAAGTTTATAAATTATTCTTTTTTTTTTTTTTTTTATACTGATATTATCATTATTGGGCGCATGTGGCACTCTTTTATTTATAAATCTGCATTACATCTTATACATTGTATTTTTTTATTTCTATGTACTTTCTTAATTCATACTCAGTTTCCTGGATACCTTTTCATTTGTCTTCCTGTTCACTGGCGGTTTTTTTGGTTTAGTTCCATCTGGTCCTTCTTCTGATAATCTGTCCTATGCCACTTCGGTACTTGTCTTGCCGTTTTTGGTCTGTCTTAAGATTTCAGTCATTTTTCTGTTTTGGGTGTAAGCAGGGACCCTCCTAAATGTCGAACCTTGTAGTCTCTTTCTTTCATTAGGTTGGTACCACTACATTCTTAAGCTGGACTTACTCAAATTTTATGTTATTTGTTGATGGATTCGCCTTATCTAGTTATCTTCGACCCCTGTGGTTATACCGACAGACTGCATTCTACACATATGAATCCTGTTTCTTCCTTATATAAAAATATCTTCTCAAAGATCCTTTTAGTCATAGTCCTAACAGAGCCTTGTTCTTCAGTTGGATTTGAACCTGCAACCTTGCAACTATGATCTGAGAGCACTAACCACTGCAATCTCAATCTACAAGTCTTAAATTATTCATATTTATTGTAATTATTTATAAAATTTTTTTATTTATACTTATTAAATTAATAATTTTTGTGAATTTAAATAGTTAATAAAAATATTAAATTATTATTACAAACTAGTTCATGTTTTTAAATAATCTAAATACTGTATATATAGTTTTTTTTTTGTTTTTTTTATTAATATAATAACATAGTGAAAACTTTATTACAATTAGAAAAAGAATTCTAAACCTAACTACATTTGTGTTACATAAGGCACCCAATGTGATATTACACTTCCTATTTTCTATAAAATGCTATAGTTAATTATTTCAAACTAATTTCTAGCTAAGATAGATTGGAGAAGACCTAAGGTAATAATCATGGTATTAAATAAAGCATACAGTTAAAGCATATTCTTGTAAGAGCTATTTATTAATAAAGAGATTAATATCTAAAGGTTGTAATATAATTGAAGAATTATTTAAGAAAATAAATATATTCAAAAAATAGAATTTTGTATGTTTAGCTTTGGCAGTGATATTTTAAGAGAGTTCTCATTGATGTTGATAGATATTATGAATAGATTATAGTTCTTGACAGTATTAAGATAAAAGATTATTAGAGAGATTAATAAGAAAGAAGTCAGTATGTTTGTTAAGTAATGTTTGAATATTGTAGTTAAAAAGGTGCCAGTAATTGTATGTAGTATAAAGAGGTAGCTTGGATTAGAAGAGTTAGTAATGAAATTTAGTAAGATATTAAGAAGAGTATTAGAAAAATTGTTAGAAATTTGGAAAGTTGTTAAAGTTGTTTAAATTATATTGATGAGTTTATGAAAGAGATTAATATTATTGTTTGGACAAGTAAAAAGATGATTTTATGCGTTAATTATTCAAAATTTATATTTAAATATGAGTGACGAAAAGGGAAAACCTGTAATTCGAAAAATAGACCATTATAAAATTCATAATAATCTATTTTTCGAATTACAGATTTTCCCTTTTCGTCACTCATATGATTATGCACCATAACACATGGAATTTTAGTAGAGTAGATTAGAGGGTCTACCAAAATTCAGCAAATCGGCCCGAATTTGAGTCGGAATAGGCCGGAATTAATAAATTTTATCTAAAATCCCCAAAATGTTACTAATAAAGCTGCCCAAATGATAATTTTGCTATAATATAGTCGGCCGGTATTATTGCTTAATACCACTTTGTTCCGGCCCATCCCTGACCTCAAATTCGGGCCGATTTGCTGAATTTTGATGGACCCACTAATCTATTCTTTTAGTATGAAACCACTATTCGGAGTACTTCGAATTTTTCTCGGCCTTGCTCGTAATTTGCATTGATTTATTTTTTATTCGGAACTGTACTTAGAGAGCGAATTATGTGAAAATTACTTAATACTGTAATAGCAACATACTTTATGCAGCATTATGCGATAAATCTAACTTCTTATGTATTATAGATTATATTAAGCGACTTGCATAAAATCATCAGCTACGTACGTATTATAGTTTATGTATAACCTAAAAAAATCGACTAAGTCGATTTTTTGAGGAATCACATTTTTTTTCAGGTTTTTTTTGAGGAATCACATTTTTTTTCAGGTTTTTTTTGAGGAATCACATTTTTTTTCAGGTTTTTTTTTATATATAATTGCTACTTCATTCATTTCAAATAAATAATATTTTTGTTCAGAAAAACTTATTTGGCTTCGTAACTTTGAAACTTAACCTTAATATAGATTTATAATAACCAGTTTTAAGGGCTATACATCTAATTAAATTTTCATAGTCTGAAATTTGCATATCAATTGACTTTATTTCATCAAAAATTAATACGTATTAAAATTTTATTTAGTACGTACGTACGTACCATATCGATATATAGTTTTGATTTATATAATGTCTGAAATTTGGGGGTTTAATTTGAAAATATAAACCCCACTAAAATCCACCTATATTGAATAAACTGTTAACAACCGGGTGGGTTTTAAAAAAATTTTTTTATAAAATTTTAAAAACAGGACTAAACAATACCCCTATGCAACTTGTGCCCCCCAAATATCTCAAAATTTTACGCTAACCCTCGTCGCGTGACTAACGCTAATAAAAAATATTCCTTACACAATTTTACCCTAACCATAACAATTTTTTTTTTACCTTAAAATTTTTCTTAACTACATAGCACTATGTGCATAGGGTACTATCTAGATTTATTTATATATAAAATTTTTTTTTTAAAAAAAAGCCGATCGGCCGGGTCCGTTTAAAGTTTCATGTTATGGAACTAAGATATTAAATTTGTGAGAGCTAATATAACAATTTATTTTTTTAAAATTATTATCGATCTTTTTCATTTTAATTACATATGTGAAACCGTAAAGCTAGTTATATAAATCATCATCGCTGTCTTCCCAATTGTTTCCAAGAGAATTTAAAACATCAGACATTTTTTCAGCTTTGTTGAAGACATCTTCAAAGAACTTGACCGCATCCTCAGATTTTCTAAATGAATGTTCCATAGTGATTCGTTTTTGTTTTTGTTCTTCAACAGCCATTCTGAATCGAGATCGTAAATCTTCGGTCGCCAATCGAACCTTTTTACGGCTTTGTCTAGTGATACGATTAGCTTCACGATCAATGTATTGTGACTGAACTAATTCATGTTTAATTTTTTTGGCAACTTTTCGGGGTATAACTCTTCCCATGTCGTACAAAAGGTAAGTACAAACACCGATTCCTTATGATTGAATAAATTGGTTAAGCATGAATGTTTAAATGAATGCAAGTTGTTAATAAATATACTTACCAGCAATCCCTACTAAAGACAACATCGTTTTGCCACGAATGTTAATTATGCCCATAAAATTATAAATTCTCAATAAACTGGAAAGTGCATTTAATTTAGAAAAGGCGTAAATTATGGTACAACCGGATAAGCCGACAAACGGAAAACGATCATTGAAATTTTGAGTTATATCAAAATCAAAGAAATCAGATAATGTTATAGGAATGGTGTTAATGTTTCCATGCCTATACATTCTTTCAAGATCAATCTTACAAGGCTCTCCGCCTAAATTTTCAGCCATGGATTGGATTCTATTAATGCAATTAACAGTTTCCTCCTTTGCTTTTTGTTCAGAAGAATAGACCCCTTTCGAAATCTCTTCAAGCATAGCGTCACGAACATCGTTGGCATATGCCCACGCATGAATTAAGCCACGATATCCTATATTCGTAGCTGATGAATCAATGTTGGAAATAGAATCTTCTAACCGTTTTTTGGTGAATAGCATAATAGAATCACATGTATCGTCAACACATTTATTGGCTTCCGAAGTAATATATTTTTCATTATTACAAAGTTGATCAAATGCTTCTCTGCCAGATTCAAGTTCGCTAAATGCCTTTTTGGCATCATGAGATGCTATTCCCCGATTAAATTCGGATAGCACACCAATATCATTTAAAATATTGTCAATGTAATGTCTAGCAGGAGACAGCTTAGATTTAGATCTCTTTTTGAGAACAAAGTTACGCAAAGATTCTTCGAGACGATTAAAATCATCAATCCTTTGCTTATCAATGGATGTTGACAAAACGTTATTTTTGTCATTCAATTCTTGGCTTTCGATTGGAATGGCGGTAGACGTTACAAAATGTACTAAATCCTCAGAATGCTCATAGGTACGTGGGGAAACTTCTTTAATTTGGTCCAACACGAGACGTTTACATTTTTCTTTATCACGTATGTTGTCGAAACGGTTAACAACAATGAAAAGATAGGCTTTTTCATTGGATGCATTCGACAAAAATTCTTTGGCCGATAAAGTGAAATGATTTTCGGCACTAACAACAAATATGATAACATCGATTTCTTCTTGCCTAGCGAACAAAGCGGTGGTCTTGAGCGTATCTCTATTCAATCCTGGACAGTCAATCAAAGCAATATCCACGACTCCATTGTGCAAGAGACTCTGGTGTACATCTCGCCTGTCCTTACAGTATACCTTAATAGTATCATTATATAGTTTAAAAATAAGTAATTAAAAATATATATAATACATATATATATAATTCGAAAATCATTATACCTTAATTTGAGCATATTCATCTGTACCATTGTTGATCGTATCGAAAAGGTTTAATAATTCAATTTTAGTATAAGTTGAAGGGTCTTCCCGGTTATAGGATTCAATATTTTTTATAGCATGAACCTCCTCAATTCCAGAATTTTCTTGAACATCTAAAACCTCGCAGAAAAGAGTAGTACATGGTTGCTGATCTACGGGCATTACGTTACGTCGAAGAAGGGCATTAACAAATGTACTTTTGCCAGCATTAACATCACCAGCAACTAAAACTTTTGAGCTAGTATCAGCCACGCGGGATTCGAGATTTTCAATTCTCTTGATACCCTGAACTAGTCGACAATCCAATAATTTAGATACAGCAATTTTATCTAATTGTTCCATAACATTTTCTGCAGACGAGCTATCTCCTTGTTTCAAGTTCAATCTGAAAACATTAAGCTTAGTATTAATTTCTTGGGAAGATGACATATCTTGTTGAGGTGGTGTGTAAAGTTTTGCATGAATTTGTTGTCGGAATTCACTGACAACCTGTGGATTTTTTGCCGACCAGTTGGAGGTCATTGAAGACTGTAGATCATTATCATCATATGATGTAAATGGCCGATGGTTGGATAAAGTTTGGCCTAGAAACGGATATTGTATATTCCATCTTCCTTTATTTATTTCTCTAAACCGTTCCAAAATGGATTTGGTATCAGTCAAGAGTCCCAATAGTTTTTTACTCTTATGCGCAAAGACTTGGTTGTTTGAAAGGCGTGATGATTGCGGAGTTGAAGGCGAAGTTACAGGAGAAGTTGTGATGGTTGGATACCTTTCGGAAAGTGGACTTATTTGAACATTAGCATTCGTTATATGGTTTGTAAGTATTGATGGTTGAGAATTTCTTCCCGAAGGAAGAATAGATGATGATGTTTGGGTATACATGGGTGTTGAAAATATTTTGTTCTTGGCGTAAATTTAGATGGTAAAAATGATTTTTGACAGCCAAAATTGTTTTTTTTTTTTTTTTTTTTTTTTTTGGTGTAGAGAGAAAAAAAAAAAAAATTTTTTTTTTAATTGCACGTGTTTTAGTGGTTTTTTCTTGATATTTTGGTGGCACGAAAAATAGAAAACAGCAACGTGGTCCTGACCGCCAGCAGGAAGACCTTGCAAATATGGTACGATCCGGTCTGCAGATACAGGTTGTCAACGTTAAAAAAAAAAAGTGAAACGATTTTTTTTTTTTACATTTTTATTATATATAGATTACTTCATCAATATTTTGATGAGTTAAGAAAATGATTGACATAGATTGACGTATCATAACCTTATTAGTCTTTTTAGTCGGAAAATTGTTTATTAATACTGATTTTGACCATAGTACAATATAAACCGTAAAATCGAATTTGCCTATGGGGGTAAGATGACACACTTGTATCTGGTATCGGTATTGTTATTATATTTATTATATACTTTACTACGTACGTACGTACGTACGTACTATTTTTTCAAGTCATATCGATTTAATGCATATGTGTGGGGACGTATTTCTAATGAGCTTTTATCTAAAAAAAAATCTTTTTTCGGATCGGTGTCACTTAATCTTGCAAATTTCGGAATATTCCGGTTTAATAATACCGTTTAAAGTACTCATGTGACGAATAACTTTAAAAAATGATATAAGTGTAGATGTGATGGTTAATCACATAAATTGTATTCATCAATGCATCACAGTGCACATGGTTTCTGTACTTGCTAAATTAAATTCCCGATAATTGATAATATCGTACGTATATCGATACATATTTTAAATTGATTATTAGCTTAAAGTTCCGAATTGTTCCTCTTACTAGAAAGGATATGCATTTATCAAACGAATATATGAATGTGGTTTTAGCTAATTAATAATTTGCACGATCATATAATGCATGAATCAATTGTTATTTATTTAGGCAACTAATTGTTTGTACATTAAAAGCACTTTAGTTTTCTTGGATCTATAATAAAAACAAATATATAATGATTCTTGTTTATTGCGAAATTATTTTGTGACGAAAAGCTAGTAAAATCCAAAATTGTAAATGAGAATATGAAATAAATAAATATAATGATTTAAATATAAATTAAAAAAAAAAAGAAAAAAGACACTGATGAACGCTTACTCTGAACGTTCATAGTGACCATTTGCCTTTGACACGAAGGACTTGTGATTGTAATAATAGTTAGAGATAAGAACACTAAGAATAAAAAAATCAATAGATGAGTCTCTCTAATTTTTTTCATTCTCTACGTCCAATCCAAAAAAAAAAAAAAAAACATATATAAATAATTTATATGATCATTATGAAATGTGAACCTTTGCGAAACGCTCCGTGAGTGCTTCAACTTGATCATTTGTTGATCTGGTTTCATGTGGAGATTCCTGAGCTTGAACTTCACTAACTTCTTGCAATTTTGTTTCTGGTGGTGGTTCTAAATCTTCAGTATCTGAGTCTTTATCTTCAAGTGTTAATTGTTCTAAACTTGGTGCCTCTATCAAATCTTCTTTGTCCTCTGGTTCATCTGGTTCATCCTCTGGTTCATCCTCTGGTTCATCCTCTGGTTCATCCTCTGGTTCATCCTCTTCCTCATCCTCGCCAAGAATTTCCATATCATCTAATTCACCTAAAGCATCTGCATGACCATGTGCTTCCAATGCAGATATTACCTCCTTGATGGAGGCATCATCTTCTTCGACATTGTTACCATTTAATTCTAATGAAACTAAATCCTTAAGATGTGTAAGGATAGCAGAAGCAAGGACTTTTACACCTTTATTATCGATCTCATTATATTGAAGATTAAGGGATTCTAACTTTTTATTATGACCTAATAAAAGAGTTTCAGCAATAACCACACCACCTTTCGCCGATAATAAACAATCACCGACATTGAGAAATTTCAAATTTGGCCATTGAACAAGTGCTTCAGCAAAGGCTCGTGCACCCTTTTCTGTGAATGTATTATCTTGGAGATCAAGAACCTCTAAATTTTTACATGCAGCTAACCCTTTACAAAGGGTAATGATACCTTCTGGGCGAATGCCATTTTGAGGCATACGGATTTCGACCAAAGAACCATGAGCAGCTATAGCATCAGCAATAGCTTGACTGGACTCATTTTCTAATCTATTGCGGCCAGCGATAATGGTTGTAAACGAAGACTTACGACCTTCAGAATTATTCTTCTCTGCCGCTGCAAGTAAAGCCTTACCGATCAGCTTTCCACCACGAGGTCCAAGACCAACATTATTAAGTTTGAGAATCTTTAAAGATTTATTATTAGTAAGAAAATCAACCATAGGCTCGGCACCCGCCGGGCCAAACGCGTTATCACTAAAACTTAATTCTACAAGGCATTCTTTATCCTCAAGCGCGTCACATATAGCTTTCACAGAGTGAGGAATCTCTTCCCTAAGCCTACCCGTAAAGATGTCAGACGCGTTGACAATCTGTATAAGGTGCGCAGTCAAACCGAAATAATTAAGACGCGTTAAAATTATGAAAATAAATTATAAGGTATGATTTGAATTCAAAACAATTTTTTTTTTTTTTTAAAAAAAAAAAAAAGATTAATGGATTGATTTCAGCCGGTAGTTCTTACTTTGATGGAATTTTTCTTTTTTAAAGCCATAGCTATTGCCTGAGCAGCCTCAACACCAAAAGTGTTTCCACTTAACACTACTTCCTCTAAATTATTAAGGTCCAATATAGAATTCACATATTCTTGTACATCTTCTGCGGTATTCAATTTCAAACTTTTTCCGGCGATGGTAAATATTGTATCAGGAGTCATTATAAATTCACTAATATATGAATCAAATACGTGATTTCGAATGGTCTTGGAGAGGTGAGGACAAGAACTACGAAACTACGGTAGCATAAAATTTTACCTATTATACTTGGTATTCGATTGTCTGATTGTCCATGACTTTTGATTGGTCAAATCAAAACCTTTATAATAGATCATGTGCCACGTACTACCAAGAATAAAAATGGCATATTTGAAACATTCAATTGTACATTATCATTATTGTAACAGTTAATCTAACTCTTATAAATCTCATAAAGATTCAAATTTCATCTTTCCACTTTCTACTCCATACCCATTAATCCAATCTTTTACCAAAATTTCATTCTTTCCTTCCATTTTAACACTTCGGCATTCAATTAATTTATCATCATTACAGATAACGTATATCGAATCTAATGATTTCGAATCATAAATGATCGTACCCGGACTATAATTTGTTGCAATTTTATTTCTGATCTTTTGTTGCTTAAGTTCAGAAGGTAATGAGATATTGTGCAATTGTATACGTTTCTCAATAAAATTTGTGGTTAATGCATACTGTAAAGAATTTTTGTAGGTTAAAAATAAAAGTTAACATTTAAATGCTTAAAAAATACAAATATGTAAATATATAACCTGATGTGATATAGCACGATATAATTTATCTAATTTTTCCGCAGTTATCTGATTCCACTTAATTTCGGCCATATTTTTTGAAATTTTTGGAGCTTTTGTGACTTTTGTTACATCTTGTTCTTGTGCATTAGCCTAAAATATAATATAATAAGATGTAAAGAAATGAAATTATATAACCAAATAAATTGAATTATTGAAATAATCAAATAATTGAAAAAAAAAATTACTTGAAAATAATCAAGGTGTTGAAGAGTATCAACCAGTAATTCGGCACCTTCCACTGCAAGAGTTGACTCAAGTGACATGTAAGTGGATTCAGAAGGAATTGACTAGAGAAATAAATGAAAAAACATTCATGATATTTGTAAATTTTTATAAAAGAAAATTTTGAATAAGAAATTCCCTAAATGCAACTCGTAGGGGCCAGCTTGTATTTAGAGAACAATAAGAAAAATTGCACTTATAGGAGTTTAGTAATATATTTGGGTCAGGGTTGAAGGATGTATTTAGAAGGTGTTTTATTTAGAGGGTTGCATTTAGAGAAGTCTGACTGTATATAAAAAAAAAGACAAACCACACTAATCTGCCTTAAAATTTTTCCAGCATCGAAAATTTCACGATGAAGATCTTGAATTGTAATTCCAGTTTCTTTATCACCATTCAAAATTGCATATTGGATTGGAGAAGCACCACGATACCTGAATATGACACGCAACGGTAATTCAAAGACATGAACCTCGTTAAAGGCCAGAAAATAATTCTAAATATATAAATGAATTATGTACTTTGGTAATAATGAAGGATGAACATTCATCGAACCTTTCGTAAAGGATTCAAGAATAACTGGTGTTAAAAAGTACCCAAATGATACAACTACACCGATATCGAAACGATCAATATCGAGGTGTATTGCTTCAAGGTCACGTGGCTTTGGAACCTGAAAAAAATTTAGTGATAGAATTATAAACTTAGATTTCATATTCATCCTTAATAAAACAAATTTCAAATAATTACCTTCCAATCTTGTAAAGTTTTTGGTGGAGCTTCATGAACAGCTAAACTGTTGTCTTGTGCGAATAGCTTTACAGGACCTTACGGTAGACGATATAAAATTTAGTTAAAATGCTAGATCCCCTCTTCCACTAGCTATCCCCTCCTCGCGAAAGAAAAGGAACTCTCGTAAAAGAAATGTTAGCAACTATTATACTTTGAGTTATAGTTTTCAATCCTCTACCAGTTCTACGGTCAGGAGGGACCACGACTTCAATCGATTTGACAAAAGAATTGATACCATTGGACACTTTTTAAATTAGTAGAAATAAAGATAGTCATTTATCAAAGTGAATAAGTATAAATAAATTTATCAAATATATAAACAATACCTTGATGATCCACTAAAGCGATTAACGATTCAAGAGAAAAATAATCCGAACCAAAAAAGAGTATTCGATATGGAGGCGGAACCTTTTCGGGTTGTTTGTTCCGCCTCGATGTATTATGAAACGGCTTGAAGAAGAAAAATCAATAAGAATTGATTAAAAAAAAAAAAGGTATATTCTTATGATATGACAATTAATGCGATAATTTAAGTAATTTATCTATATGAAAAAAAAAAAATATTACTTACTGCGCGTAAAAATAATTCATTTTTTGATATAGTAAAATAACTTGGAGAGCGTAATGATAAAAAGTTATTTTGTTTTAAATTTATTTTTATTTTATAAGCCTTGAGCGTTGCTTGACATCTAAACATCATATTTGGAGTAATTTTGTCGTTATCATTATAGTTATCATTATGTGAATTTTATAAATTTTATAAATTTTATAAATTTTATAGATGTTAAAAGCCAATGATATCAAGTTTCCAACCCACTCACATGAATTTAGATTATCTGTAGCGATAATTTTATGTACGTACGTACGTACGTACGTAGCAAATAACTTTTCCCATAATGCTTTACATAATAGGCTTAGGTTTATGTGACGAAACAGACATTACTGTTAAAGGTCTCGAAGCGATAAAATCATGCGAAAGAGTATATTTAGAAGCATATACAAGCATTTTAATGGTTTCCAAAGAAAACTTGGTACAAATTCAAACAATTAATATCTTTCATTATTTCTCGTATAACTTTTGTTCAAATTAATCCACGTAGGAAAAGTTTTATGGCAAAGAATTAATAATTGCAGATAGAGAAATGGTAGAATCGAAAAGCGATGAAATATTATTGAATGCAAAATCTTTAAACATAGCATTTTTGGTAGTCGGAGATCCTTTCGGGTATGTAATTAATTTATTCATTTAATGTACATTTACAATCTAAAAATTTTTTATTTACAACAATAAAGTGCAACTACACATACAGATTTAGTGATACGAGCCCAAGAGTTAAATATTCCTGTCACAGTAATTCATAATGCATCAATTATGAATGCTATTGGTGCTTGCGGATTACAATTATATAATTTTGGTCAAACCATCTCTATACCATTTTTCACCGATACGTGGAAGC